GCAAGACGGGCATATTTTGTTGAGTGACAAGTCTCATCTGGTTAGACTTATAAATTTTATAGCTTTAAACCGGTGTGATGGTGCACACCCGTAATCCCAACACTCAGATCCCAGCAGGAGGATCGCCAGGAGTGTGAGACCGGGCTGGGCTACACAGTGAGTTCCAGTTCAGCCTGAACTATATCATGAGACCCTGTCTGAAAAAAACAAAGACAAAAACAAAACAAAAAGCAAGACACCAATCGCTGCCACCATCACCACCACCAGAACAAAGGCAAATACATTTCAGAGCCTTGCAGTAAGTGATATATATGGCAAGTGAAGTCCTCCCAGGGGAGAGATCAAAATAAGGCTGGAAGCCAGGCATGGTGGTGCACGCCTGTAATCCCAGCACTGGGAGGCTGAGGCAGGAGGATCACTGTGAATTCTAGACCAGGCTGGCTGCACAGTGAGTTCCAGGTCAGTCTCAACTACATAGTGAGACCCTGTCTCAAAAAACGAAAAAACAAACAAAAACAGGGCTGGAAATGAGTTGGAGGGGCAGTTTCCTCATCAGTGAATTGAGGGGCTGGGTTGCTGGGCTTCCAGACTCTTATAGCTGTGGCCACTGTAAGGCCCGTGCTCCCCTTTCTGAGGCCAGCCTGGAGCTCACTGCATCAGCTGGAGGCAGGACTAGCTTTTCCCGGAACAGGGGAGGAAGTGATGGGGGAAGTTGGGCATGGGGCTGGATGGGAAGCCTGCCAGCTTCCGGGGCCACTCTGGTCAGCTTTCACACAGAGCCACGGTGGATTCTCCGAAGAGCAGACTACTACACTAGTATTCCCGAGTAAGTAGAAGGCCAGGCTCTGGGGTGACCTGAGGACTCCCAGGGAAGGGCCTGCCACTCCCTCCGTAAAGGCCCCTTCCTAGTTGGTTGTTTGACTCTTGATCTCTACAAATTTTCCATTCAGAGGAATTGTTTTTCATCTTGAAAGATCCTCTATTTAGCCTAAATCTCTCACTCTGTGTGTGTGTGTGTGTGTGTGTGTGTGTGTGTATGTTGTAGTTCAGGCTTGAACTATGTAGCACAGGCTGACCTCACAGACTAGGCAATCTTCCTGCCTCAGCCTCCCAGATACTGAGATTACAGATGTGTGCTTCTCCACCTATTTGCCTTACTTTCTAGTTGAGGATGCCTACAGAGGTCCAGGGACTTGCTTAAGGTCATACAGTAAGTCATTTGTCCCTTTATTTGTAAATTGTGAGACAAGGTGTCAAAGCAGCCCTGTATGGGCTGAATGGCTAGGCATGTGGGAGGGCAGTTCATGATTACAAGCTTCAGACTAGCCTTTTGGTGGTGGTGGTAGTACTGGAAAGTGAAGCTAGGGCTTCACACATACCAGGAAAGTGCTCCACCAGTGAGCTATACCCCAACTCTTGATTGTTTGTTTGTGGTACTGGGCATTGAACCTGATCTACAACTCAACCATTTCAAAAAACTTTTTTGAAATAGTCTTGGCTCAGATTTGTGATCCTCCTGCCTCAGCTTCCTAGAGTTCTGGTATTACATGTGTGCTCTAGGACTATTGATCCCTTCTGTCCCCCAGTAGATCAGGACTGGAGTGACATGTGAAGAAAAACAGCCTAGGGGTTGGGGGAGTGGTAGAACACTTGTCCAGCATGCCAGAGGTCCTGAGTTTGACACCCAGCACAAAAACAAACAAACAACAACAAAACTGAAGATCCGGGGATTTAGCTCAGTGGTTCTACTGCTTACCTCACAAGTGCAGGTCCTGAGTTCAATCCCCAGTACCAAAAAACAAAACAAAACAACAACAACAAAAAAAACCAACACTGAATAGCCTGGACCCATACACATCAGGTGTGTGTGTGTGTGTGTGTGTGCAAAAATCATTTTTGAACTGGAAAGCTTAGCCAGTATGGTGGTACACACCCGTAATCCTAGTACTCAGGAGGCTGAGGCAGGAAGATTGAGGCCAGCCTGGACCAGAGTGAGACCCTGTCTCAAAAAACAAAAACAAAAACAAACAAACTGGAAAGCTTGTCTCCTTCTTGGTCTGAGTCCATTTTGCAGCTGGCTGGCCTCGGGCCCAGCCAGTGAGCTGGGATCTGGCCGCCTCACTGGATCACCTTACCTCACACCACATGCACATGCGTTCCCGGCCTGGACCTCCAGGACTTGACCCTGTCCATTTCGAGCTGGTTCCATTTGTGCAGCTTGGGACATTCAGGGTGAGGCCATAGGCAGTTTTTCTGATGCCGTCCCCCTGAGGCGTCTCACTCAGTCTCAGTTTCCCCAGGGAATGAATGGGGGTGGGAAGACTTGGGAAACTAAATGACAGTTTTTGTTACCCCTCCTCCCTCTTTTATTGGGATTTCCCACCTGCACCAGCCCAGATGTTATTTTTTTGTTTGTTTTTTGAGACAATCTTGCTATGTATTCAGGCTGGCCTCAAACTCCTGCCTCAGCCTCTTGAGTTCTGGGATTACAGGTATGAGCTGACACATCTGACAGGCATCTTTGAGAGCAGGAAAAACAGAGCATCCCCTGAAAAGAGCTTGTGTTTCCTCTTTCCTGTCTCCCTCCCTTCTTCACCCTAGGCCTTGCCTGTCCCCTTAGAAGTCCCTGTCTATCTTGCTGGGTGTGGTGGCACATGCCTATAAAGCCCAGCACACAGGAGGCTGAGGCAGGAGGATCACAGTGAATTTGAGGCCAGCCTGGGCTACATAGTGAGTTCAAGGTGAGACCTTGTCTCAAAAAATCAATAAACTGGGGCCAGAGATTTAGTTCAGGGGTTCTGGGGCCTGCCTCACAAGCACAAGGGCCTGAGTTTAATCCCTGGTACCAAGAAAAAAAAAAAAAGCAATAAACTAACAAAGAAACAAATAGACGGAAGTCCTTGGCTGTCTTCTAATTGGACACTAGCTGGCAACACCTTATCTAGGCTCTTCTGTCTGCCAGAGACCTAGAGGCAATCTGGTCTGCAGACTGCTGGCTGGATGACGCTGGGTATAGAGGCCACCTCACTCCTGCCTAGGCCCTCAGATGCATTCACATCTCATTTACTCACCCAACCGCTCATTCACTCACTGTCCTTTCCCCAACACACTGACCTACCCACACCTTCCTTCCCTCTCATTCAAGCCAGGCACAGGTTGAGAACCAGACTGGCCTCAGATGGGATTAAAATGCACATATATTTGGGCATGGTGGTGCATGCCTATAATCCCAAGACAAGGGAAGCTGAAGCAGGAAGATTTCAAATTCCAGCCCAGCTTGGACTATACAGAGTTCAAGGCTGGCCTGGATTACATAGAGAGACACTGTTTCAAAAAACTAAAAATTGGCCAGGGATTTAGCTCAGTGGTTCTGCTGCCTGCCTCATAGGCACAAGGTCCTGAGTTTAATTCCTGGTACTAAAAAAAAAAAAAAAAAAAAAAAACCCAAACTAAAAACTAAAAATTAAAAAATGCAGACACGTAAGTAGAATAACACAGCCAGGCAGACACAGGGCCACGTGTTTGGAAGTAGCCCCCCAAATCTGCAGGAAGATCTTAACAAAGATCAGCGGTCTTGGTTTTATAGATTGGGCAAGGGAGGCTCTGGGCTGCCCTAGGCCACTGGGCAAAAGAGGCAGGCAGCAGCTGTCCCTGGGGTGCTCCTTCCCGTCCCCCTGCCAGGGTCAGTGCTGTCACAGCCTTTACCACAAGCAGAATGCAATGTTTTCCAGTTCTAAGTTGGTGACCCAAGGCTGCGTGAAAAATCACATGAACTAAGGCAGAGAGCAAAACCCTTAGTGCCCAGGGTATTGATTTGAGTTACACAACCAAGCCTGCAAGACCTTCCTCTGAGAGATTTCTAAACCTTATGCTTACAGCGTGGACACAGAAGCCAGGGAGCCTCGTTACCCTGAAAGTGGGCCTGTGTGCAGCAGCAGGACCCAACTACAGGTTCCATGGTCTCCAGCCATACCCACTGCTCAGCAATCCCGAGCATTTGAATAGGACAGAGCCCCATTTTCTTGGGGATAAAACACTTGAGGAAATATTTCTCCAGTGAAGTTCAAAATCAAACGGTGTTATAGGGCTAGAAGTTAGTTAACCAAATGTTTACTTATATAATCTAATAAATTCTTTTGTGTGTGTGCACTGGTATTCAGAGCCAGGGCCTCCCACGTGTTAGACAAGTGCTCTACTACTGAGCTATGTCCCCAGCCCCAAAATTAAATTCTTTAACATTAGTTTAGAAGAGTTTCGGAAACCTTCCTTTTGTTTTGTTTTGTTTTAAGACAAGCTCTCTCCATATAACCCTGGGCTGGCCTCAAACTTCCTATGTAGTAGAGGCTGACCTTGAACTTTCGATCCTCCTGCCTCAACCTCTTGAATGCTGAGATTACAGGTGGATAACTTTATTCAGATGCTCTACCCTGTTGACTGATTGGAGCGATACTGGGCTACCGTGTCTGCTAAGAGTTTTGTTTGAAACACAGCATGTGGTGGAAAAGTACCCTCAACGAAGAAGTCCTTCGGGACGTGAGCATGGCCCATTGCTTTCTGCTCACTGGACTTCGGCCCCAACTTCAGTTCTCTTTGCCCCACATCAGGCCGTTTGATTTCAGAGCCCTCTTCCCATGTTCATTCCACAGCCAAGGCACCCAGGTCGAAGAAGGAGGCTACCCCAAGCAGGCACCAAGCAGCAGCTTGACTTCAGGTAACCCGAAAGAATTGCTGAGCGTCCTGGGGTCAAGGGCACCAGCCGCCAAAGGGAAAAGCTTCCCTCTATCTGGCATTGTAAGCAGCTGCAGGAAGAGCTGGGCCTTTGCTGAGGCAGGCACGTGGAACTGAAATGACCCCAGAAGGCTGGCAGATCTGTCCCTGGGCAGATGGATCACCTGATAGAGATGTCAGGGCCCAGACCTTGGAATTGGCTTAAAGCTATGTTGACCCAGGGGCTGGGCCTTGGCATCCTTTCAATCTGCCATCTGAGCCAAAGCCTAGAAATAGTGCTGGGGCAGCCTTCCCGGCTCAGTGTGAAAGAGGAAGTGACCATGCAGGTACTCACCAAGCGCTACCCCAAGAACTGCCTGCTGACCGTCATGGACCGGTACTCGGCCGTGGTGCGCAACATGGAACAGGTGGTGATGATCCCCAGCCTCCTGCGGGACGTGCATTTGGTGGGGCCTGGGGAGCAGGCTCAGATCCCCGACCTCTACACCTACTTTACCATGCTCAAGACCATCCGTGTGGAAGTGGACCACGGGCTGCTGCCGAGGGAAGAGTGGCAGGCCAAGGTGGCAGGCCACCAAGACAACGAAGCCGAGGACGATGAAGCCGTCGAGACGGAGGAGGCTGGGGAGGAGAGGATTTCCAGAGAGCTGGACCTGGAAGCCCAGTTCCATCTGCACTTCTCCAGCCTCCACCACATCCTTACCCACCTCACCCAGAAAGCCCAGGAGGTGACGAGGAAATACCAGGAAATGACAGGACAGATCCTGTAGGCCTTGAGCTCCAAGGGAGGTAATGTGGCCACGCTCACGGGTCAGAGTCCCTGGGGACCTAGTGGGAGGGGGACAGCCCAGCTCTCCCACCTGGGTATTGGAACTGTCACCTGAGAGGGCTCAATATGGGTCCTGCCTTATTATCCTCCTGACTCAGGATTGGTGAGTAGTGGCGGTGAGCTGTTACAGAGCCAAGAAAAAGTAGCCTGGAAGTATACATCTTGCAGGCACATTGTGTCTGTGCATGTGTTCACCCGTTAGTGTGTGAATGCCTTAGACGTATGAACTGAGTGTGCTCTCACTGTGCACTTCTTCTTTGTTTTTGTTTTTTTGGTATCGGGGATCGAACTAGGGACCCTGCGCTTGCAAGGCAGGCAGCAGAACCACTGAGTCAAATCCCCAGCCCCACTGTGCACTTCTTTAAGAACCTGTTACAGCTGTGGACTCTCTGCGGTTCTGGTACTTAGACGTGGAACTGCATTAACTGAGCACACGTTGCATGCCAGCACGGCTTCCAAGGGCTCGACTCAGAACTCTCACCATAGCCACATGTGATGGACACATCTGTAATCATCCTAGGACCCTGGCAAGTTGAGGCAAGAGGATCAGGAGTTTGAGCCCAGCCTTGGCAGTTCAGTGGCTTTGTGGCCTAGCCATGAGGGGTGGGTCCCTCCTGGGGAGAGTGGGAGAAACTAGACCATAGCATCTGCCAGTTTGGCCCCTGTGCTGCCTGCCAGGCTTCTCCCACAGACTGGCTTTAGCAGTTGTCAACCACATCTGTGGCTGTTAGAATCTCAAAACCACCTGGTGTAGATATGGATTTATATTCTTAAGAGGCTGGGATTTAGCTCAGTGGTTCCATGCCTGCCTCGCAAGCACAAGGTCCCTAGTTCAATCCTTGATACCAAAAAAACAAAACAAAAAAAAGGACTTTATATTCTTAAGAGGCTTCCTCATAAAGAAATTAAAGTCAGATAAGTGAAGTGACTCATGAAAAGTCACAGAATTGGAGGACAAAAGCAAAGCTGGCCCCAACTTCAAACTGAGTGTTCTTGGCATGCTACCTACCCTCTGCTACTCTAAACATGGACACCCTAGTCCCTGCCACAGACCTACAGAGCCCTGCTCTAGTGCCTTCCCAGAAATTTTGTGGGGTTTTTTTTGATTTGTTTGTTTTGTTTTGTTTTTTTGGTACCGGAGATCAAACTCAGGGCCTTGCCCTTGCGAGGCAGGCGGCAGAACCACTGAGCTAAATCCCTGGCCCTCCCAGCCATTTTTCCTTCTCTCTTTGCAAGCCTGCTTCTCTCTCCCCTTGAGGCTTTCTGGCTGCCTTCCAGAGGTTCTTGAATTTAACTGGGCTGGGTCAACCGCCGGCTGCCTCTGGGCTGTGAGCTGCGGGGATTTTTCTCACTTGAGCTCTGATGAGCTGTGGGGCCTTTGCTAAGCTGCTTCACTCCTTTGGATTTCAGTTTCTTAGCTGCATAGCACCAGTGGTAAATACAACTGGCATTTTAATAATGTTTCAATCACTTGCATATTAATTAGTGAATCATCATTACTATTTTTTTTTGTACTGAGGATTGAACCCAGGGCCTTTGCACTAAGCTACATCCCCAGCACCCCCTTTTAATTTTTTATTTTGAGACAGGATCTCACTTAAGTCACTAACGTACTCAGGCTGTGGTCAAACTTTCAATCCTCCTGCCTCAGCCTCCTAGAGTGCTGGGATTACAGGTCAGTACCACCACAACTGGCTTCATTACTCTTTTATATATTTTTTCTTTTTTATATTTAGTATTTTAATTTACTTACAAATGATTTAGACATTTTATCTTTATCATATAATTTGCATTTAAATTACATAAAGAGCACACTTAATGAACATTATCCCATTTATATTTCCATTTATTTATTTGGGAATGAATACTCCACTACTGAGCTATATCCCCAGTTCTTTTTCATTTATTTTGAGACAGAGTCTCACTAAGGTTCCCAGGCTGGGTTGGAACTTGTGATCCTCCAGCTTCTGGCTTGCCAATTTTTTTTTCCTTTTCTTTTTGGTACCTGGGATTGAACTTGGGATCTTGTGTTTGAGAGGAAGGCAGCACAACCACTGAGCTAAATCTCTGGTCTTTTTTTTTTTTTGAGACAAGATATTATGTAATCCAGACTGGCCTTGAATTCACAGCTGCCTCAGCCTCCTGAGTGCTGAGATTACAGGCATGCACCACCATGCCTGGCCCCAGTTTATTTTTTTGTTTTTGTTTTTGTTTTGGTACCAGGGATCAAATGCAGGACCTTGTGCTTATAAGGCAGGTGGCAGAACCACTAAGCTAAATCCTTGGCCCCCAGTTTATTTTTATTTTATTTATTTATTTTTGACACCAGGGATCAAACTTGGGACCTTGCACTTGTGAGGTAGGCAGTGGAACCACTGAGCTGAATCCCTGATCCCCCCATTTGTTTGTTTGTTTGTTTACTTATTGGCACAGGAAATCGAACTTGGGTCTCTGCACTTGCAAATCAGGCACCAGAACCACTGAGCTAAATTTCCAGCCGTTTCTTTGTTTTTGAAACAAACTCTACTACATACTTGAGACTGAACTGGAACTCACTTTGTATAGCCCAGCTTGGTCTTGAACTCACAGCAATCCTCCTGCCTCAGCCTCCCGAGTGCTGTGATTACAGGCGTGCACCACCACACCCAGCTTCTGTTTATTTTTAACAGTTATTCATTTATATATTTTTCCAGATACTGGGAATCAAACTCAGGACCTTGTGTTTGCCAGGCACGCGTGGTGCTGTTGAGTTCCATCCCTGGCCCTATTTTTACATTTCTGATGAAAACTGAGATACCATACAAGTATAGACATCATTTTTTTTTTTTTTTTTTGTCAAAGAAAAACTCCAAACATTGTTGTGGTTGAAACATAGCATTTGACCTCATATCTTAAACATTTATCAGACAAATATAATCCTGACTAGCCAATAACCAGAGCAAAAATGCATGTTAGCAATTTTAAAGATATCTCTAGTGTACTCTTATATTACTAACTAAAGAGCTTATGGGGATCTCAGCTGGCTCCTTGTATGTTCTTGATTTGTCATGGAACAGAACTGAAGGATCCCGCAGTGAGAGGCATGGTAGATTTATTAGGAAGCACTAAAGAAGTACACAGTGAGGACTGAGATGCACTATGGGCTCAGGTTGGAGGTTTTATGTGGTTTTGTGTGACTCAAGACAGATGATATAGGATGCTTTTTCTGGAACTCACTATGTAGCCCAGGCTGGTCTCGAACTCACAGAGATCCTCCTGCCTCAGGAGGCTGAGTTGCTGGGATTACAGGTGTGCGCCGCCACGCCCGGCCTAAGCTGCAGTTTTCTTAAAAGTACACTTTTAAACTTTTACTTTTCTCATCTCCTTTTTACCTTTTATTTCTTCTATCTGACCTCAGCTTCACCTTGAGGGGACTGGACCAAGGCAGCCAAGCTGGTTCTTCGCTTTCCCATTTCAAGACTGCATGTCCGTCTGATCCAGGGGCTTAGTAATTTGTCTCAGCTCCCAAGAAACTGGCACCAGATGCCAGGGCCAGTGGCTCACATTTGTATGAAAAGGAAGAGACAGAGCGAAGCATCTCTTTCCTATACACCAAAGAGAATACGGTCAAGAGCATGTGTACGGACTGCGGCCCACCAGTCATCAGGCTCACTATTCCGATTTTCCTGAGTATATCTGACGTCTTTAACACCCTGGCACCAGGCCAGCAATCCACATCAGAGGTCGTTCAACCAAAGGAAAGAAACTTTGCTGAGCAAGTGGGAGTCAAACTCTCAGATTACTCCTGTTTTCTCCCTTAGTATTAGAAAAGGACAAGCGAAGGGCAGAGCTTTCCCTCCTTGCTGGAGGAAAAGGAAAGTGCTCCCGCTGAGGGCCGAAACAGCGTAGAAGACCAGTCTGAACCTACCAACAGGAGGACTCTGAAATCAGCATGTGGGCGGCCACTAGGTCACAGAGGTTTGGTCAACTGTCGCCTGGCGCTCTCCTAGAGGGTCCCATCTCAGGTAGCAGGAGTGGCCACAGACCCCACTGCAGATGCTTTGCGCTGTCTCTTCCTCTTCGTATGGATGTGAGCCCCTGGCCCTGGCATCTGACACTAGCTTCTGGGGAGCTCAAATTCCCACAGCTGAACCCCTGGATCAGAAGGACATACAGTCTTGTGGGGTTTTTTTGTTTGTTTGTTTTTGTTGTTTTTTTGGTACTGGGGATTGAACTTGGGTCCTTGTACTTGCTAGGCAGGTGGCAGAACCACTGAGCTAAATCCCTGGCCCCATTTAATTTTTTTTTTTATGGTACTGGGGATCACTCAGGATCTTGTGCTTGTGAGGCAGGCAGTGGGACTGCTACACTAAACCCCCAGCCCAGGACATGCAGTCTTGATGGGAAGGAGAAAAAGAGCCAGCTCAGTTACCCTGAGCTTTCTAGTGGAAGAATCAGGATGAAGCACGTGGGAACAAGGCTTTTATTCTCCCTCTCTCTCTCTCTCTCTCTCTCTCTCTCTCTCTCTCTCTCTCTCCCTCTCTCTGGTACCAGAGATTGAACTCAGGACCTTGCACTTGCGAGGCAGGCAGTGGAACTACTGAGCTAAATCCCCGGTCCAACGCTTTTATTCTTTTTTCTTTTTTCTGAAGGCTTTTATTCTTATACTCCAGCATGAGGAGAAAAGCCATGGGGGAACAGGAATCCCAGACTGGCAACATCATTACCTTTTCCAGATGAAAAACCCCGGAGGCATGAGAAGTGAAATGAGCCCCAAGTTGCTAAGTAAATGGCAGAGCCAAGAAAGGAACCCTGGCCTAACTCCAGTCTCATTCTCTTTTCTTTTATACCTGTAGATTTAAAAACAAACAAACAAACAAACAAAAAAACAGGGTCTCGCCATGTAATTCACCAGCCTTTAATTCACTGTGTAGCCCAGGTTGGCCTTGAACTCCCAGCGATGCACCTGCCTCAGCTTCCTGAGTGCTGGGATTAGAGGCATGCGTCACCATGCCCAGTACTCATGGATTTTTTTGTGTCTTGGAGCCTTAGAATAATGCAGCCTTGGCCCGAGGGGAATCTGTGAATGGCAGAAGGGGTAGAAACCCCACACACTGACCAAATACATTCAAAGGTCACAGCAGCAAGTCTATATCATAATACTTCAATGGATCCTAACTCTAACCTGATTTTCTTTCGTGGAGGCAGTAGCTGGGGACAATGGCACATGCTGTAATCTCAGCACTTGGGAGGCTGAGGCAAAAGGATCACAAGTTCAAGTCCATCGTGCACAGGCTATTTATTTTATTTATTTATTTTCCAGTATTGGGGATCAAACTTGGGCCCTTGCACTTGCCAGGAGGGTGAGGCAGAAGGCCTGGGATGAATCCTCAGTCCCCAGTATCACACACACACACACACACACACACACACACACACACACAAAATCTGTGCTCTTTTCTTGATTCTGCCATTGTCCACACAACTACCTCTCTGCCTCTCAGTTTGCTAGTAAAATGTAGAGGAAAAATGAGTGATCCCAGCTCTGATGTGTAACTCTTCAGTTGAGTGTTGCCACTCTCCCAGCAGCAATATCAGCTTTTTCATTGCTATTATGACTTCAACAGGGATGTGAGAGTACTTTGTTGAATTCATACTCATTGGGCATTAAAGGTTTTCTGCACTCCCCAGACCTTTTCACAGATGAGAAGGCAGCCTCTGGGATGCAGCAGTTCGTCAGCCTTGGGAGCAGAAAGGCCTGGACCTGCAGTTGGACGGGAAGGCGACTTCTGCCTCTGAAGGCTTCCCTACTTCCTTGTGAGCTGCTTTGCGGACTCCACTCACTGGCTCACCTAAGGACGTTTGTCACTACTAATAGTTCGTTTCCCTCCTTTTACCAAGTTGGGGAGGTAACCAGTGGTTCATGAGTTACCTGTTCAGTGTGGTATCGCAGAGTGTTAGCACACGACCAGTGTTCACACCCCTCCTTTCGGGTGTCAGCCCCATATGTGATCTCGGACACAGTCACCCCCGAGCGCATTTCTCTCTTGTATGAAACACAGTCTCAATCTACCTCACAAGGTTGCAGAAATGAAACAAGATGAATCAGAAGTACCTGGCACGTGAGAGCTACTGTAATAGGCTGATTTTTCCTCCCACCGTCTCCTACGTATTTCCTCTAGTCCTTGCTGTTTCACAGAATTATGAATCCCTTGCAATAAATGCCTCACCCTGCTGTAACTAATGAACCCTATGAAACTGAATAGATTAGCAATAAATAAACATATTTATTGGAGTAGCAATTTTTTTTTTTTTTTTGGTACTGGGGATCAAACTCAGGACCTTGTGCTTGTGAGGCAGGTGGTGGAACCACTGAGCCAAATCCCCAGCTATAGTAGCAATTTAAGGAAAAATGTCTTGTATTTGTGTATCTTTTTCTCGTGGGGGTGGGAAGGATATTTGATACAGTCTCGCTATGCAATTGAGGCTGGCCTTGAACTATTTACCCCAGGCTTGAACTCACAGCAATCCTCCTGCCTCAGCTTCCCAAATGCTGAGACTGCAAGTATGTGCCACCATACCTGGTGCCTCTTTCTTTCTTTTTTTCCCCATTAAGTTTATTGGTACATTCAAGGTAAACAATAGTTACATTCATCATTGGGATCTTGTACCTTTACATGATGTATCTTGGTTATTTTTTCCCCATTCCCCTGCCTTCCCTCCACCCCCTTCACCCTTCCCTATTTACAAAACCTTTTATTTCCATTTTTTCCTATTTCTTTTCCCTTCTTTCCTTTCACCTACCCTTTCCTCTTCCCCTACTCCTTTAGCCCTTTTCTTCCTGTTTCACACTATCAGTTATACTATTTGAACCTAATTTACACTTTCAGTTTTTCACACGAGAAGCAATTCAGTATTTACACGTGTCCTATTTATTTCGCTTGAGTATGGCCTCTGTGCATCCATTTAGCTATAAATGGCTGAGTAGTATTCCATTTTATAGAAAAACCACATCTTCTTTATGCAGTCTCCAGTTGATGGGCAATTGGGCTGTTTCCAAGTTTTAGCTATTACAAACTGCTGCTATAAAGTATAGCAGCATATATCACTGTGGTATGCATACATCACTGTGTGCATATATCACTGTGGTATGATTCTTTTTTGTTTTTTTGTACTGGGGATTGAACTCAGGTCCTTGTGCTTGAGGCAAGAGACAGAACCATTTCTTTCCTTTCTTGCTAAGGTTAGCTAAGGTTTTATTGATTCTATTCTTTCAAAAACCAACTCTTCATCAATTTTTATCATTCTCTTAGTTTCAATTGCATTAATTTCTGCTCTGATCTTTAAAATTTCCTTTGTATGAGGTTTGTCTTGCTCTTCTTTTTCTAGGAGCTTAAAGTTCAGCATTAGGTTGTTTGAACTTACTCTGTTTTCCTAGTATGGGCATTTACTGCTATGAATTTCCCTTGTAGAACTGCTTTGTGTCCCAGATTCCTGTATGTTGTATTGGCAATATCATTTAATTGTAAAAACTAATTTTTTCCATTGTTTTATTGGTACATTTAAGGTAAAAGTCACAATTCATCATTGGGACCTTGTACCTTTATATGATGTATCTCGCCCCCCCCCATTCCCCTGACATGTCTTTATGTCTAAAGCACCTTCTCTGATTATTTTTATAAGTAGTATGCTAGTGATAATTGTCTTTGCCCTCCTGCCTATATTCATATTACCACACAATTTGAAATCATGTATAGTTTGAGAAATCTTCAAAAACTAATCTGATTATGAAATCTGAGTTTGAAAACCAACTATTTGGAAAGCATTTGGATATAAAGGTCAATCTCCTTCCACATAGGTGTGGTCTTTTATTTCTAATTATACCAAGCTCCAACACAGACTATACTAGCTATGGAGCCCTTTTACCAGGATGATGCATCTAAGAGCAAAGACCCTTCTGCAGTATCAGATTTTTTTTTTTTTTTTTGGTACCGGGGATCGAACTCAGGACCTTGCGCTTGTGAGGCAGGCAGTGGAACCACTGAGTTAAATCCCTGGCCCTTCAGTATCAGATTTTTAATTCTCTTCCCTGTCTTATCTTCTTCTAAATCACCCTCTGTATTTTTTGCAGAGAGCTCTGAAATACAAACCTGACCATTACTTCAAGTGAAAACCCTTTCATGATTTCTCAGTATATATGGGATCAAAATTGGTCTGCATGATCTGGCTTGCTATGTATTTGCTCTGCACAAACCTTTGTATTTTCAGACAAACCTGTTCTGTAAAGGGTCAGATATTAACTACTGCAGGCTTTGCAAGATGTAATAACATGAAAGCTGTCAGAAACAACACATAAACACGGCTGTGTTGTAATAAAGCTTTATTGGCAATGGACTATACTTTGCTGGAGAGCTGACGTTTTCCTAATCTAACCTAGAACCATACTCCATTTTATTTTATGCAGTGCTAAGGATTGAACTCAAGGCCTTGTGCATGCTAAGTAAACACTCAACCACCGATCCACATTCCCAGTCTCCAAAATCCATTTAAAAATTTTTCAGATTGGCTGGGGATTTAGCTCAGTGGTTCTGCTGCCTGCCTTGCAAACACAAGGTCCTGAGTTCGATCTCCAGTACCAAAAAAAAAAAATTCTTTCAGATATCTTTTTAAAACTAGGTGAATGTCACCCCACAAAGAATGGGAATGCTATCAAGAAATCATACAACAAATGTTAGCGCAGTTGTGGGGAGAAAGGAACCCTTCTCCATTGTTGGTGGGAGTGCAGACTGGTGCAACCACTGTGGAAATCAGTATGCAGATACCTCAAGGAACTAGGATCAAAGGTTCCATTTGACCCAGCCATCCCTCTGCTGGGTATCTTTCCAAAAGAATTAAAAGAATCATATCACAGTGACATATGCACACCTATGTTTATAGCAGCACAGTTTGTAATAGCTAAAACATGGAAACAGCCCATCTGCCCATCCGTTGGAAACTGGATAAAGAAGATGTGGTTTTTCTATAAAATGGAATACTACTCAGCCATAAAGAATGAGAAAGTAGATTCATTCATAGGTAAATGGGTACATTTTGAGGATATACTCCTAAGTAAAATAAATAAGTCACACATGTTTCTCTGGTGTGAAAACTAAAATAGTTACTCAAGATCCTAATGGGACAATTAGCAATGTGAAATAAGAAAAGGACCAAAGGTGTAGGGACAGAGAGAAGGATAGGGAAAGGGGAACAAGGGAAAAGGAAAAAAATATGAGAAAATGTAAAAATGGAATTAAAGTGTTTGTAGGTGGGAAGGGGTAGAGGGGGTGAAGGGAGGGCAGGGACAAGGGGAAAAAATGAGAATCAAGAGCTGTCATGTAAAGGTACAAGATCCCGTAATGAATGTAACTGTACTGTATACCTAGATTGTACCAATAAATTCAATTTAAAATTAAAAATAAATAAAAAAATAAAAATAGGTGAATGAAAAGTGACTGTCTGCTATTTACTGTTGTTTTTACAATAAAAAAGGAGTCAGGGTATTTGTAATAATCATTTTAATTGTAGCATAGAGATTAACATCAACTTCAGTCATGGAAACATGTTCCACAAAATTCAGAAATAACAGGTCTCAGTTAAATGGAAGTGTTTTGAAGGCTTCAACGTACTGGATGGAATTCTTCCAGAATATCACCATAAGTTTTCCTCGCTATAAAAAGAAAGAACACAAAAAGATTTATTTTAAAATTATTTTTAAAAATTGTATTTCTTGGGCTGGATTGTAGCTCAGGAGTATTTGCCTAGTATGCACAAGGTCCCAGTACCACAAAAATGAATTAACTTTAAAAATTACATTTCCTAGGGCTGGGGATTTAGCTCAATGTGCTGCCACATGCCTTGCAAGCACAAGGTTCCAAGTTCAATTCCTGGTGCCAAAAAAAAAAAAAAAAAAAAAAAAAAAAAACAAAATTACACTTCTTAGCTGGGTATGGTGATGTACAATTGTAATACCAGCACCCAGGAGGCTGAGGCAGGAGGATTTCTGGGAGTTTGAGGCCAGCCTGGGCTAGTGAGTTCAAGGTCAGCCTGAATTACATAGTGAGACCCTGCCTCAAAAAAAAAAAAAAACAAAAAACCACACACATACACATATATAAATAATTTTTCCTAAAATATAAAAATGAATACCAGGTCTGAAGGTCTGGGTCCCTCCAAAATTTCCTTATTTTGAAAACCGCTTCTCCAGTGCTAAATGGCATTAAGAGAGGTGAGTACAAGCCTGTAATTCAAGCACTTTAGGACAAGTCTGAGTTCAACTCGGACAATTTAGTGAGATACTACCTCAAAATTAAAAAAAAAAAAAAAAGGCTGAGGATGCAGCTCAGTGCCAAAGCCCTGGGTTCAATCCCCAGTACTGACACATTATGACACAAAATAAAACAAAAGTACTGAGTTTGATCCCTGGTAAAAGAAAACAACAAAACGGTGAAGCCATGGGGAAGTGACTGGGGGTCACGAAGATCAAGCCTTTATAAATGGGATTAGCACCTATGGGATAGAAATAGGACTATAAAGAGACTAGAGGGACAAGTGTGCCCCTTGTACCATGCAAGAACATAGCAAGAAGGTGCCATCTATGAAGCAGAATAAGCCCCCATCAGACACCGAAACTGTTGGCACCTTGATCTTGGATTTCCTAGCCTCCAGAACTGTGAACAACAAACTAATATAAATTACACAATCTAAGATACTATGTTATAGAAGCCGAAGTAGATTAAGTTAAACTCCTCAGCATTTTCTGATTTTCTTGTCCTCAACTATGGCTTGGCAATCACTGATACATTTTGTTTCATGAGTTGTGGTGATATTCAGATGGCGACTAAGGGTTATCCTGGATGAAGGGATAAAGAAAGGAACACACAGGGAGGACACAAAGGTCAGACAGGACAGCAACTCTCCAGTGTAGCTCTCTTAGTGTAGCTAAGCTCTCCACGCCCCATCAGTGTCAGGGGCTCTGGGCACACCTGTTACTACTCTGCTACCCAAAGACGGAGCCACTCACATGGCCACAAACTTCTGTCCTCACAGGGAGCAAGTGGGAACAGCTGTTCTCTAAAAAGACCCAGAAGTCTTGGTGCTGAGCACTGACTGCTTAGCCACTGGGTATCACTTCTACAAATCAGTATTTCCAAGATTCCTTCAAACTCTAACATTCAATGGTTGTGGGTATTCCCTACCCGATCCACCATAAACACAACACATGTGACTAAAGTTCAGGGAAGCGTTATATAGTAATGGAATAATAAAATTTTAGAGCTTAAGAGGTTTCAGGATCATTTACTCAGCCTAATGAAATTAAAATGCTTTGTATTACACATTTATATGAACAGGAAAATCATGTTATATAGGAAAATCTATGTAAAATCTGTCTATATGTTTATAAGTTTAAAATTTTTGTACATTCTGCTGAATGTCTGTAATTTTGTTCAGACGACTGCAGAACCTGGAAAAGCTGATGCTGCTATTGATGCATAACATACTGCTATTATTAGTCTTTTTATATAAATATAAATATATATATACATATATATATAAATTGAATTTTGGGAAACTTTAACAGTGCTGCCAATTTTGGAAAAAGTCATCCCAATTTACTGTGTTGAGTTGGCATTGTACAGAAATGGACAGCCACACTGGTCTAGAAATGTTAATTTATTTTTATTTTTATTTATTTATTTATTTTTCCATGTGTACAGGGGTAACACATCATACTAAATATGTAAGGTCATATCTACGTGGGTTTGATTACAGAAACTAATAAAGTATTCTCTAAATAATGAAAAAAAAAGAATAAGATAAGACTATAAGAGCAAGAAGCAATTTAAATATTTTCGGGGACCACTTTCATCTTCAGAATTAAGGATTATTTTAATGTTACATCACTGCCTTTTCTCTTTTACTTTCCTTTTTAGTTTTATTTTAGGATTCCCTATTTTTAATGTTCATACAGAGATTTCTTTAACTGAAATACTGAATAGTTTCTTTGGTGTGAAAAACTATAATAGTACACAGGATCCTAATGAGATAATTAATAATGTGAAATAGGAAATAAAGGGCTAACGGTGTAGGGAAAGTGGGAAGGGTGGGGGAAAGGTAATAAGGGAGAAGAAAAAAATATGAGAAACTGAAAAAATGGAAATAAAGTGTGTGCAAATGGGGAGGGGAGGGGGGGTGAAGGGAGGGCAGGGACAAGGGGAAAAAATGAGAATCAAGACCTATTATGTAAAGGTACAGAATGCCAATGATGAATGCAACTATATTGTATACCTAGATTGCACCAATAAACTCAATAAAAAGAAAAAAAATGATTTAATGGGAAAAAAATTTTTTTTTGTACATTCATTTACATATTACTAATGTCAAACACTCTGGGTATTTAGTCCAATGGTTCTGCTGCCTGCCTTGCAAACCCAAGGTCCTGAATTCCATCCCTGGTACCAAAAAATAAAAAAAACTAAACAAACAACATCAATATCATCAACAACAACAAAAAAAAACCCAAAACCACTCTGCAGGCTCAGGGAAGACAAAAATTGTTCCTAGTTAGCCAGGCACAGTGCTACATGCCTATAATCTTAGATACTCGGAGTCTGAGTCAGGAGGGTCAGAAGTTTAAAGTAAGCAAATTTAGCAACACCCTGTCTGAAAAACAAAACAACCAAAATAGGAAAAGAAAAATGAGCTGGGGGAGTAGCACAGTGGCTGAGTACCGCCTAGGTACTCCAGCCCACCCCACCCCCCACAAACTGCAGGGCAGGTCATTTGTTATCTGTATATGGTGCTATGTGCACGATTTGGGCTAAAGCCTGGGGAGGTAAAGAGGAAGCTACAGTCCAGTGAGAGACACATGCATACATAATGTGGAAAATAAAAAGGATGGCCCAAGTGTTTCTACCACAGCACAGGCAATTAACTCAGCCTGAGGAAATGAGGCATTCTAAGAAGTCTGGATTTTATCCTGTAGGTAATAGATAGCTTTTTGTTTTTTTTTGAGACAGGGTCTCACTATGAGATTCAGGCTGGTTTTAAACTTGAAGTGATCCTTCTGCTTCAGCCTCCCGAGTGCTACCATTATAGGTGTGCCACTATGCCTGGCAATATGCTTAACAGATAGCTATTTTAAGCCAAGAAGTGTGATCAGATTGCTGTTAGCAGAAAGATATGTGCGGCCAATGAAAGCACTTTTTTTTTTGGTACTGGGGATTGAACCAGGACCTTGCACTTGTGAGGCAGGCACGGCACCACTGAGCTAAATCCCTGGCTCTGTTAGTAGAAATAAGACCAAGCTGGATGTAGTGGTGCAGGCCTGTAATTCCAGCATGGATGCCAGGAGGATCACAAGTTTGAGCGTGGCCTGGGGAATTTAGTGAGATCTTGTCTCAAAAAGTAAAATGGGCCAGAAGTGTAGCTCAGTGAGAAGACCCTGAGTTTAATCCCCAGAAGTACAAAAATAAAAATAATACAAAACAAACAAACAACCAACCAAAGAAACAAAACACCAAAGGTAGAGATAAGTACAACGGTCCAAGCACAAGATTATCAGGACCTAGACCAAGGTAGTGACTATGGGTGAGGTTAGAGTTCAAAACTGAGCAGAAATTTTGAGAAGCAGAAAGAACACGAATTTTCAGATTTTTAAAAATTTTTAATGGTACCGGGGATTGAACTCGGGCCCTTGTGTGGCAGGTGGCGGAACCACTGAGTCAAATCCCCAGCCCAAGAACACGAATTTTATTTGTTGTCCAAGTCAAAAATTGAATATACGAGGGCCAGGCGTTTAGCTCAGTGGTTCCACCGCCTGCTTTGCAAGCACAAGGACCTGAGTTCAATCCCCGGTAACCAAAAAAAAAAAAAAAAGAATTATGAGACTGGGCATGGTGGCATACACCTATAATCCCAGCACTCAGGAGGCTGATGCAGGACTGCTTTGACTTCAGAGCCAGCCTTAGCTATACAGTGAGACTCTATCTCAAACAAACAAACAAACAACAAAACAAAAAATATTGCATATACAAATTTAGGAGATCCTAGTTTAGTGGAGGCACTTGGAAAATATGTTGAGTTAAACAAACCAGACACACAAGCTTAACTGCCATATGGTATCTCTCATTTGAGTTAGGTAAAGTACAAACAAGGAGAATAATAAAGGATGGAAAGGAGGAGACATGGGGATGGATCAAGGGTAAAGGGTAAGAGCGAGGGGAAATAAACAGAATAAGGATATTACATGTCCAGGAACTTAAAAATGTCAATGAATGTAAACATTATATGCCATAACATGAGCCAAGATTAATAATATCAGCAAGAATGAAAATAGGGAAAGGGGAGGGAGGAAGGGAAAAGGAAAAGGGATTATAAAAATTTTTTTTAGTGTGGAAGTCAACAGAACATAGAGGTACTTCAAACAATGGACTCAGATATGGATAAGATGAGCCAGGAAATATGATAGAAAGAAACCGGTTTTCTATAATTTGAATACCTTTTTCAGGAAAATCCTCTGGATGTGATTTAATATATGCAAACATGTCATGATCCCTTATGGCACTGATATAGTCTTGACGTTTTAGAAGATAATATCCGACAAACATAAAGGAAGTAACATAGAGAAGCTGACGATGCACACCTGAAATTCAAATGACAAATACCAGAGAAAGTAAAAATCAGTCAATCTATAAAAGTATTACATTTTTACATTTCAGATATAAAACTTGTTGTGATATTTCTTTTTTCTTTTTTTTTGGTACCAGGGATCAAACTCAGGACCTTGCACTTGTGAGGCAGGTGATGGCATCACTGAGCTAAGTCCCTGGCTGTGTTGTGGTATTTCTGACATTCTTTTAAAACTACTCTACTCTAAATAGCCTTACCTGACTTTGACTTTGATATATCCCATGCCTTAAAGAAATCTAGCAATTATGAAAGCAATGTTAACTCTGTAAATATGACAATGTTATGGAATTGGTAAGTGACACAGAGAGGTGCAGAATGGAAGTAAAATAACAAGTTTATTCTATCAATGGGGTTGATCACACCTAATAGCAGTGCCCTGATCAACCCAATACTGGGTTACAACTCCCTCTTTTATAGGGTTTTATAGCCTTGATCTCATTCAGGTGGTTACATTTCATTCTCACAATCCACATTGTTGATGTACAAATAATGGTCACAAGACAGTTGAATTTCAACCCAGATGTAGCACTCCTTTGTTAGGGGAGTTTACCTTTAAGATTCTTCTAGCTATCTATTCTAGCTGAGGGCAAGGGGTGTTCCTGGTCAGGAAAACAAAGTTAACAATGGTTCTTTTCATCTTTATAATCATGTGGTTTATAAAACATTTGAGCTAGAGGTTTCTTTTTTTTGTTTTGGAGACAGGGTCTCACTATGTATTTGAGGCTGACCTGGAACTCACTATGTAGCCCAGACTGGTCTCAAACTCACAGCAATCCCTGCCTCAGCCTGCCGAGTGCTGTGATTACAGGTGTGCATCACCATGCCCAGCTGAGCTAGAGGTTCTTGGTGTGCCCTGTTATCTCAGGATGAGACTAGATTTCTCACTCAGTGGTTAATGCCTCCAGTGTCTGTTGATTCTGAACTAAATAAAGCAAACAGCTGTTGGGGATGGCAGAAGTCATTTTACATTGTGACATTTCTGTAGGTTTTTGCCATTTATAAAAGTTTTCTCTATCAACAACAGAACACAATATATCCTTTTTTTTTTTTTTTGAGACAGGGTCTCATTATGTAGTTGAGACTGACCTGGAACTATGTAGCCTAGGCTGGTCTCAAACTCACAGCAATCCTCCTGCCTCAGCCTCCCGAGTGCTGGGATTACAGGCGTATGCCACCATGCCCAGCTCCACAATATATCTTAATTTTGGGTTTTATAAAATATTCAATGGCAGAATGGACATAAGCAAAAATCCTAGATTAAGAAGCTGGGTGTGGTGGCACATGCCTATAATCCTAGCATTCAGGAGGCTGAGGCAGGAGGATCACTGTGAGTTCGAGACCAGCCTGGGCTATATATTGAGTTCCAGGTCAGTCTGAACTACATAGTGAGACCCTGTCTCAAAAAACCAAGAAAAAAAAAAAAATCGTTGATTAAGAACAGGCAAAAAGCAGCTGGTCATGGTGGTACACTTTTGTAATCCTAGCACTTGGGAGGATGAGGTAGGCGGATTGTGAATTTGCCTAGGATGCAGCTGAGGATACATAGTGAGATCTTGCCTCAAAAAACCAAACCAAGCCAAATCAAACAAGAACAGAAAAGAAAGAATTCGCTTTCTTTTTCAGTAAGCTAGCTTTATATCTAAAAACTTTGTATTCTAAGGTTGGCTCAGGATGTGTGCGATAAGATGAAAGTTAAAATAGGGCCAGGGATTTAGCTCAGTGGTTCCTACACCTGCCTTGTAAGCACTAGGACTGGAGTTCAATCACCCGTACTAAAAAAAAAAAAAAAGATGAAAGTGAAAATCTTCTACAAATGGTCTAAGAGCAATTTGTTTTATCTTTATGTCCTAAACTATATTTGCACATTTATTGGCTATTCAGTCAGCTATACTATACCTCCTTAAGAAATCCCTTCTCAGGGCCAGGGATTTAGCTCAGTGGTTCAGCTGCCTTCACAAGTGCAAGGTCCCTTGATCCGCAGTACCAAAAGAATAAAAAAGTAAATAAAAATAAAAGAAATCCCTTCTCTCCATTCTCTTGTACCTTCCAAGTTTTGTACCATTTGCACATCAAAAACTATATTAAAAAAAAAAATCATCCTGTTTCTAATTGGGTGTGAAGTTTTGTGTGCTGGTAGTCTCAGCTAGCTTCCCAGGAAGCTGATGTAGGATTGCTTGAGCCCAGGAGTTTGAAATCAGCCTGCACAAGTTGCCTTTAAAAAAAAAAAAAAAGTTATCCTATTATAAAGAGACTGGATCAAATTACAGAGCCTAGGAACATCAGAATCGAAAGTCTAGAAGATCATACGTGTGAAACTTGCTACATGAAAAGTTTTTACAAAAGGTTTACTTCAGGTTTGAGTTTCTAGCTATGTCCCAGAAATCTTGCTGTAGTCCTTTTCTTACCTCCTCTCACATATAATCATGTGGGGAACTCATTTACTACTACAGTCTTTACTATCCATGTGCCGATGATCTATAAATGTCTAACCTAAACAGTTATGCTGAGTAACACATATACCCCAAATGTCTGACAGATATATTAACACGGATACTCCAAACAACCCATTTCTTTCCTTGTTATCCCTCTTCTTCTTAATCCAAGTCACAAACACAGTAATCACCCACTCCCCTCACTACTAGGGACTGAACTCAGGGCCTTCACATTCAATTTTAGTCTTTTTTTTTTAAATGTTTATTTTGAGACAGGGTCTCACTGTCTCACTAAATTGCCCAGGTTGGGCTTGAGCTTGTGATCCTCCTGCCTCAGTCTGCCAAAGCACTAGGATACTAGGTATGTATCACCACCATATCTGTCTAGTGATATTTTTTTTTTTTTTTTTTTTTTGTTTGTTGTGGTGGGTTTTTGGTTTTA